AGGTTTGTTACAAAGGTGTCCATGTCCTGTGGTGGTTTGATGCACCTATTGACTCATCCTCTAAGTTCCCTTCCCTCACCATCCACCCCCCAAACAGGCCCTGGTGTGTGTTATTTTCCTCTCTGTGTCCACATGTTCTCATTGTTAAAATCCCACTTAAGAGTAAGAACATGCGATATTTGGTTTTCTGTTCTTGCATTAGTTTGCTGAGAATGATGGCTTCCAGTTTTATCCATGTAATTGCAAAAGACATGATCTCATTGGCTGCATAGTACTATTCCATGGTGTATATGTACCACATTTTTTTAAATCCAGTCTATTAGTGATAGGCATTTGAGTTAATTCCATGTCTTTGTTATTATACATAGTGCTGCAGTAAACATACATGTGCACGTATCTTTATAATAGAATGATTTCTGTTCCTTTGGGTATATACCCAGTAATGGGATTGCTGGGTCAAATGGTATTTCTGGTTCTAGATCTTTGAGGAATCGCCATACTCTCTTCCACAATGGTTGAATTAATTCACGTTCCCACCAACAGTGTAAAAGTGTTCCTATTTCTCTCCAGCCTTGCCAGCATCTATTGTTTCCTGAATTTTTAATAATCACCATTCTGACTGGTGAGAGATGGTATCTTGCTGTGGTTTTGATTTGCATTTATCTGATGATAAGTGATGTTGAGCTTTTTTTCATATGTTTGTTTGGATGGTTCTTAATATGAGTAAGTTCCTTTGATGCCCAGTTTGTTGAGGGTTTTTAACATGAAGGGATGTTGAATTTTATTAAGAGTCTTTTCTGTGTCTATTGAGATAATCTTATGATTTTTGTTTTTAGTTTTGTTTATGTGATGTATCACACTTATTGATTTGTATATTTGGAACCTACCTTGCAACCCAGGAATAAAACCTACTTGATTGTTGTGGACTAGCTTTTTGATGTACTGCTGTATCAGGTTCATTAGTATTTCATTGAGAATTTTTGCATGTATGTTTATCAGGGATGTTGACCTGAAGTTTTCTTTATTCACTGTGTTTCTGCCAGATTTTGGCAACAGAATGATGCTGGCTTCATAAAACGAGTTAGAGAGGAGTCTCTTCTCCTCAATTTTTTGGGGAATTATCTCAGTAAGATTGGTACCATCTCTTCTTACATGTATGGTAAAATTCGACTGTAATTCATTCTGGTCCAGTGCTTTTTCTGGTTGGTAGTTTTTTAGTAGTGATTCAACTTTGGATCTTGTTATTGACCTGTTTAGGGTGTCAGTGTCTTTGTGATTCAATCTTTGGAGGTGTTATGCTTCCTGGACTTTATGCATTTCTTCTAGATTTTCTAATTTGTGTGGATAGAGGTGTTAAAAATAGTCTCAGAGGGATTATTATATATCTATGGGGTGATGGTAATGTCCCCATTGTCATTTCTGACTGTTTATTTGAATCTTTTCCCTTTATTCTTTATTAGTCTAGCTAGCAGTCTATCAGTTTTATTTATTCTTTCAATGAACTAACTTGTGATTTTGTTGATCTTTTGTATGTTTCTTTGCATCTCAATTTTATTCAATTAAGCTGTGATTTTGGTTGTTTTTCCCTTCTGCTAGCTTTGGAGTTGGGTTGCTCTTGTTTTTCTAGTTTCTCTAGGTGTGATGTTAGATTGTTAATTTGAGATATTTCTAACTTTTTGACTGCATGTTTAGCACTATAAACTTTCTTCTTAACACTCCTTTAGCTATGTCCCAGATATTCTGGTATATTATGTCTTTGTTTCCATCAGTTTCAAAGAATTTCTTGATTTCTGACTGTATTTCATTATTTACCCAAAATCAACTCAGGGGAAGGTTGTCTAATTTCTTTATAATTTCATGGTTATGAGAGATCATCTTTATATTGATTTCTACTTTTTTTGTACTGTGTGTGATTCATAAGTGTACATGGTATAATTTCAGTTTTTTGAATTTGTTGAGAATTGCTTTATAGTTGAGTGTGAGGTCCGTTTTAGAGTATATGCCATGTGCACATGAGAATAATATGTAGTCTGCTGTTGTTGGGTAGAGTGTTCTCTAGATATCTTCTCAGTCCATTTGGTTAAGCGTCAAGTTTAGGTCCCAAATATCTTTGTTTGTTTTCTGCCTCAAAGATCTGTCTAGTACTGTCAGTGGGGTGTTGAAGTCTCCCACTATTGTTGCATAGTTATCTAAGTCTCTAAGTACTTGTTTTATGAATCTAGGTCCTCCTGTGTTGGGTGCATATATATTTAGGGTAATTGTCTTCTTGTTAAATTCAATGAATCCTTTAGCACTATTTAATACCCTTCTCTGTTATTTTTGATAATTGTTTATTTAAATTCTGTCTTGTCTGAAACAAGTATAACAACCCTTGCTCTTCTTTCTTTTCTATTAGCTTGATAGATATTCCTCCATTCCTTTTCTTTGAATTTATGGGTGTCATTGCATGCAAGATGGGTCTCATGTAGGCAGCATACAGTTAGATCTTGTTTCTTTATACAACTTGCAACTTCTTGCATTTTAAGTGAGGCATTTAGCCTGTTTACATTCAAGGTTAATATTGATATACGTTGATCTTGTCGTTGTGTTTCTAACTGGTTGTTATGTAGGCTTGATTGTGTAGCTGCTTTCTAGTGTCAATGGTCTATGTATTTAAGTATGCTTTTGTAGTGTCTGGTAACAGTCTTTCATTTCCATGTTTGGCAATCCATTAAGGGCCTCTAGGCAGACAAGTCTGGTGGTAATAAATTCCCTTAGCAATTTTGTCTGAAAAATATTTTATTTCTTCTTCACTTATAAAGCTTAGTTTATCTGTATGTGAAATTTTTGACTGGAATTTCTTTTCTTTAAGGATGTTGAATACAAGCCCCTAATCTCTTCTGGCTTACAGGGTTTCTGCTGAAAGGTCCATGGTCAGCCTGATGAGGTTCTCTTTGTAGGTGAACTGTCCCTTCTCTCTATCTGCCTTTAATATTTTTTCTTTCAGGTAGAAATTTGAAAATATGATGACTATATGTCTTGGGGATGTTTGTCTTATATACTACCTTGCAGGGGTTCTCTGAATTTCCCAAATTTAAATGTTGACCTTTCTAGTGAAGTTGGAGAAATTTTCATGGACAATATCATCAAATATGTCTTCCAAGTTGCCTACTCTTTCTCCCTCTTTTTCAGGAATGCCAGTGAGCTGTAAGTTTGGTGTCTTCACGTAATTCATATTTTCTGCTGATTTTGTTCATTTTTTAAATTCTTTTTTTTTTTTGTCTGATTGGGTTCACTCAAATAACCAGTCTTCAATCTCTGAGATTTTTTTTTCATAAGCTTGTTCTATTCTGCTATTAATACTTCTGATGTATTATCAAATTCTTGTGGTGAGTTTTCCAGCTCTATCAGATCAATTTGGTTCCTTCTTAAAATGGCTATTTCATCTTTCAGCTCTTAAATTATTTTACTGGATTCCTTAGATTCCTTGGATTGTGTTTCAACTTTCTCCTGAATCTCAATGCTCTCTGTTGCCATCCAGATTCTGAATTACATATCTGTCATTTCAGTCATTTCAATCTTGTTAAGAACAAATGCTGGAGAGGTAGTGTGGTTTTTTAGAGGTTATTTGCCTTTTCAAAGTTACAGAGTTCTTGCACTGGTTCCTTCTCAACTGTTTTGGCTGATATTCCTTTAATCATTGAAGTTGCTGTCCTTTGGATGAGGCTTTTCACTTTTATATTCTTTGAAGCCCTTGAAAATTTGTGATATAAGTTGTTTTTAGTTGACTGGCTTCATTTCTGAATGATTTCAAGGTGCCAGGGCTTAGCTCAGCACTCCTGGGCTGTGTGCTATAACCTGGGCTGTGTGCTATAACCATGTCCACAGCTTTGTCCTCTGGCCACTGCTGTACTGGAGGGGCTGACATGTTCTTCATACACTGGCAACAACACTCTGATAGGAGGTGGGGCAAAAGCATGTCATCGTGGTGGTGGTGGCAAGGTTTACACACATGCGTGCTTGCAAAGCAGTCAGGGGAGGCTGCACACTGGTAGGGTCCCATGTGTAAAAGCTCTCCTATGGCTAGGCAGAATCTGCCAATGAAGGAGGCATGGCAGTGACCACTGAGGGTCACCCTGGCTGGGCATGAGAGGCTGCGCTGTAAGCAGGTACAGCTAGGCAGGAACTCTGAGAGAGGCCAGCAGACAGGGATGAGCTCAGGTCACACTGGCCCCATCCATGGGTAAGAGAGCCCTGTTCTGTTAAGGTTCAACAGTCAACAAAGGCCAATGCCACCTAGAGGAGCTTAGCAAGCCTTGGGCAATGGACGTCTCTGGCCATATTTCACTGCAACCATTCCTGCACCAAACCCTCTGGGCTTTGCACAGGCTAGAGTCCTGTCCTTGCCAACTCTACAATCAGCTCTGCCTACTAGCTCAAATGTCTATGGGGGTCGTGGGGTGTCCTGCAGCTAGATCCATAGTGAGAGTAGGCCATTGCACTCCTATTTAACTCACCTCTTCCCCAGGAGCTACACAGGCCCTGGAAAGAGTCCTGGTGCTCAGCAACCTTGTGCAGTGTTGCTAGAATTCTCCCTCTTTCAGCTCAGGGTCAGCATCCTCCCTCTATTCACTCTCAATGACTTTCTTCTGAAGATATGCTCAGTGTTCCAGTCTTCCTGATGGTCTTGTCTCTTAGTGAGAGAAGCTCTTCCTGGCTATATCTAACCATCTTGAGCCCCTCTCCCTAGTTGTTTACTAGCTAAATAACTCTGGTGATTTACCTAACCTCTCTGAGCCTCCGAAAAAAAATAGGGATAATAATATTTACCTTGCAAGGTCCTTGTTAAGAATTAGAAACAATGATATGGCACATGGCAAGAACCCAATAATCAGCCTGTGAGAACAGCAATAAGCAATATCCAGTGTGGTAAATGGGAAGTGGCAGGTGCTTAATGAGTGGATACTATTTTTGTTAGTTCATTTGCAGCATGCAACTGATTACAAGGATTATTTTTATACCTGGTGGAAGTGCATCATGTTCTGATCAGAGTTTCCCCAATCAAAAGCTTGAAGCTGACCAGAATTAACAGCCTAAAATAAAACGAGCACATTAATATAAGTTAACAGTATGTATTTAAAGATAGTACACAAAAAATATACAAATAAGATTAATATTATGCCCCACTCTTTAGACACATAAGCTAAATTTCAATAAAAATAAAGAAAATAAGTAATAAAAAATGATAAAATTGATGATAATTCACAAAATTGGTGCAATCTTTTACTCCTGTCTCTTTCCAATGAAAATCCTTAGAGTTTTCATTTAAATCCAATGCCTTTAAATGTTACCATGCTACACATAGAAATATTTTTTAAAGATACAGAATAGAATGATTCTTAAATATCTCTGCTTCAGGAATTTAAAAAGTCATTAGCTATTTGTTTCCTACATTTAAAAATTACTGCTATTGTTATTACACAACTTTGTACCTTATCCTTATGATGGGGTCTAAGCTGTTATGATTATATTCCCATCCTTAAACATTCTTTTCACTATTAGAAGAAATATTCACCCACTGTTTCCCCAGTTCTGTGTGCGGTACATGGCTGCTGTCTGCCTCCCATATCTGGGGGCAAGCCACCTGCTGTGTTGTTCATATGGAGCCATGGGCTAAATGAGATACTATGCATGAGTGCTTTTGCATTTTGGCATTGAAACTTCCAATAATAGAATGTAAGAACATTCACACACACAGCATTTCCTTTTTCTGTTATTTGGCACCCATATAGGATTGATGAGGCAGGTAATTTTGACGTTTATGTCAAGCACTTCATTAAATTATTCTTAGACTATTCTGTGTGTGTTTTTTTTTAGCTTGAATCTCAGATATTTTTCCTACTTACTGACTTAGTCCTGATTTTTAGTTTAAAAATATTCCCATCATGATTTATATTCAGAGAGGCAGCAGTCTGCTGCTATTGAAATTCTGAAAGCTTTTAGCAATGGGAGGCAATAGGATGTACTAGTTAGGAACTTGGGCTCTAGGATCAAATCTGGTGATTTGGTTTGGCTCTGTGTCCCCACCCAAATCTCATCTCTAATTGTAATTCCCACACGTCAGGTGAGGGACCTGGTGGAAGGTGACTGAATCATGGGGGCGGACTTCCCCTTTGCTGTTCTTCTGTTAGTGAGTTCTCACAAAATCTGGTTGTTTGAAAGTGTACAGCACTTCCCACTTTGTGCGCTATCTCTCTCACTCTCTCTCTCTGTCTCTCTCTCCCTCTCCCCCCTGCTCTGCTGTGGTAAGACATGCTTGCTTCCCCTTTGCCTTCTGCGGTGATTTTAAGTTTCTTGAGGACTCCTAGTCATGTTTCCTGTACAGACTGTGGAGCTGTGAGTCTATTAAACCTCTTGTTTTAATAAATTACCCAGTCTCACATAATTCTTTATAGCAGTGTGAAAAGAAACTACTATACCTCATTTGTATCCAGGTTTAACAGATTACTGAATCTGTGATTCAAGGTAAGATACTTATGAAATGAAAATGATAGTAACATTCTTTCTTAGGATTGTGAAGAAAAGCATGTAGCACCTAGCAATACTCAACAAATAGCTTTTTTTAAAACTAGTATTACTATCATCATCATGATCATCACCCTTGCTTTAGCTGCCTATGTAATTTACAACCAAATATTTACCATCCCCCCATCCCTACTTTTTTCTATTCTGAAAAGGGCTTCCTGTCAAAAGAGAAAAGTTTTTCTTAAGAGAAGTTAACTGTAAAATGTATAAGGAATAGGCAGCCATGTGTAATGCTCACGCCTGTAATTCCAGCACTCTGGAAGGCTGAGGTGGGAGGACTGCTTCAGTCCAGCAGTTCAAGACTAGCCTAGGCAACCAAACAAGACCTCATATTTGTAAAAAGAAACAAAAGTTATCTGGGCATGGTGGTGCATGCCTGTGGTGCCAGCTACTCAAGAAGCTGAGATGGGAGACTTGCTTAAACCCAGGATATCAAGGCTACAGTGAGCCATAATTGTACCACTGTACTCCAGCCTGGGCAATATGATTGTACCACTGCATGCTTTTATTTGGCTCAAAAAAAAAAAAAAAGAGAGAATATGCTACGACGTTTGTAGAATGAATAAAATTATATGTATAGGTAGCAAGAAGAGCACATATTAAGTGCTCACTAACTGTGAAATTCCATGTGTACTACCTGGAAGGCCATGTGCTCATAAGAGGACCTGTCTGTCTCCTCATCAATAGGAGGACCTATATCCTGAGCATCTTTCTTCCTAAAGGAACTTGAAGCCTATCTCCTGGGGGTCAAACTCTTCCAAGAATTTCAGAAATCCTCACCTAGTATTTCAGGCTATCTATAGTAGCGATTCTCTAAAATAAGGAGCAAATTTGTTAGGATATATGTTAAAATGCAAATTCTCTGGTGGGGTGGAATATATTAAAAATTTGAGAAGACACCACCCATAGAATTATGTATATTTTGTTCACTTTTCAAAAGGGGTTGTGTCTGAGCCACCAGCCAAGAATATAGGCAAAGATTACATGATAAACAAATGAATGTGCATGCATGTGTGCATACATGCACACACAAAGACACACTCACACACACACACAGCTCAGAAAACCAAACCAATTTAATCTGACTTATCTTTGAGCTTTCTGAATATTGAGCTATATAACAAAACAAATAAAACTTTACCTGAGGGTAAAACATAAGCCATAAATTTAATTCTTCCCTAGCATTCAGTTTGCTCTGAATAAAGCATTATTTCCACATTCCAAAATGCCCCATACATTGATTGGAAGATGAATAGCTCTTTCTGGAATAAGCTCCATCATTTTATATAAAGTTTTATTACAGCTGATGACTTTCTGAAAGAGGAAATAAAAGCCTTCCCTTGAAAAGGCAGTTTGGAAAAATCTAAGGATCAGATTTCAGTCAGAATATCTGAGAACTATGCTCAAAACCCAGACAATGAGGACAAGGAGAAGAAACGGGAATGCAGTAGATAAAAATGAACAGTCGATGTTGATTCCGAAACCATCAATGTGACAGTGGCGGGTGCCTGCAGAACCCTGCAGTGAGCTCTCTGAGAGCCCTTCTTGAGGGTCTTGCAGAGGTATGTGTGCATCAAGCAGGAATAAGAAGCACGTACCTGGGCCCAGTGCAGCATATTCTGAACAGATGTTCCTGCAGGATTGTGTGACAAATAAACATCCAAGCGACTCTGCAAAGAGATTATTTCTTATCTAGAGGCTAATCATATCATCATATCACAAGCAAACATTTGAGAGAAATTTAAATACTTTATTTTCCTTTTTTCCTTTCTTTAAGGAAAAAAAACATGTACCATGTACTCTGAAGACATATTAACCAAAGAAGCCCATCTTTAAGAACTTCTTCCTCCACTAGCTCTGTCCCATCCTCAGTAGTATCTTCAGAAAGCTTACAGAGAGCATCCCACTTGTCAAAAACAAAAGGAAATCTATCTTTCTTTCCAGACTCAACTCTCTAGGTCCAAGGGTGTAGGAGATTAAAGGATAAAAACTCCAGTGATCTTTTCCTTCACCCCATGTTAAGTCCCAAAGGACATTCAAAGAAAGTTGTTGACCCTAAGACACTGAAAATTGATCTAAATGTTGCCTTTTGTTTTCTGAATTTTAAAATGTGGTAAATATTCTACAGGACTCTGAAAGTTTGTGGGGCAGAATCAATTCAGTCAGTATATTTAGATATCTTATGGATAAACACACACATACACACACAAGAACAAAAACAAAACACACACACAAACTCTCGATTCTCTCGTATTTTCCATTGCACTATTTTTTAAATAAAAAGAGCTATTTTCCACCAAAGTAAACATCAGAAACACCTTAAAGTTTTAAAGATATGTTAACCTACTTATAAGCTATCCAAACGTACTGAATAAAAATCAAAATCTGAAAAGTTGAGTTCTGGACATGTGACTTTTTCAAAGTTCCACCAGTATTACTTATGCACCCCTGGTTATGGTTCACTGAAACAAATGTCCTTGAAGGCGCCATAATATTCCGTAAGCTCTGCTTTTTGGCAGGAAGATAAAAGGTGATTTGACGAAAGGTGTCCATATGGACAGCAAAGGCCAATGAATAGTCAAGGGTGTTATTTTGTGATGTCTTTCTTTAGCAAACTCTTAGGCTATGCTGAGAGGGTATTTTTAAAATACACTGTTTTGTGTTTGCTTCAAGGTCTTTTTACTCAGCTCTGCCTACATGATATGCTTTCATCTACACCTAAGCTTGCATCTAAGTGATAGGCAAGCATAGTTTCCGTGGTACACTGAGAAAGTGAGAGAGGAACATAGAAAGGCAGTGGCTAAGATATGCTTTGCATAAAAAGCCTTTTATAAATCTTGCTTGAAAGCAAGAACAATTTTAATCGGTGCTTTCCACTGACTGGGAGAGTAGGCTCTGGGCAGAAGTCTGCAAGAGAGGTGGAGAACATCTTCAGCCTGATCCTTCCTTTGACTTCAAACACGTCTCCTCTCTTTCCCTCTTCCCTCTCCCAAATCTTTGGGTCATCATGGAAAGAATCTCGGTTAAGTTAGAAATTACTTGACAAGAACCCTGACACTGATCCCTGTCAGTACTCCTTGAACAATAAATTTGTAGCTGTTATTGAAGAACCATCCCTCCTTTTATGCGTTTGGGTTAAGGAAGTAAGTGGTTCACAAAATAACTTACCAAATCACCTGTGAAAGTGGAAAACCAGTAAAAAATTAAATACAAATGTCTGGACTCACCCCCTGAGATTCTACTTCAGTAGGTCTGAAATAAGGCTCAGGCACAGCAAGATAGATATCAAAACCATAGCCTTTATCTAAACAAAGGACGTTTCAGATAAGAGATGACAACTGTTGGCAGGAAAGCTTTCTTCTCAAATCCTCCTATGAAAGCAAGTTGACTCTCAGCCCTCATTGGAAGCCATGAATGTACTAATTACATTCCAAAAGCAAAAAGGAAACATTGAATTTTGGTTTTCATACAATCCAGAATGAATTTTCATCACTTCTGTGCAACAAAACAATTGCTTTCCCAGACCCAATTATTTACACCTACCATATTTAAGTTTTGCGGATCAAATCCACTCAGAGTAAATAGGAAGTTGCTGCAGATACGACGGAATAGCTTCCGGCTGCACACTTTGGTGGCAACGAATTTGTCAAACAATGTACGAGGGTAGAACATTTTGTCACCAAACAACACCTACAAAATAATTTCAAAACACCATCAAATCTCATAGGTGTGGATATCAAAAGTGGAGAAAGAGTGGTAGTTCAAACAAGGACTGCATAGTACTAGGTGACATCTGCTCGGTGTTGGTCCTTAGTGAAACCATGAGGCTTATTAAATTTTAGTTTTGTAATCTTTCCAATGCACCTCTTGATGGCTTTTCCAAAAAACCTTTAATTGGGGTGTTTTTTAGAATGCCCTTTGAGAAACTAGTTCCCACAGGAAATTGGTAAGACTTTGGAGTGAGGCGTATATGTGTTTCATTCTGGATTCAAACACATTCTATACCTTAGGAGAGTATTTAATTTTTATTATTATTATGAATTTTCTTATCTATAAAATAGAAAAATTTTCTCATAGATAGGGATGTTGTGAAGTTAGTAGGTCATATTTAAAAGACAATTAGTGCAGTTCCTAGCATCTGGAACAAATACTATTTAATTCAAATATAAATTAATGTAATGATTATTACTATCATAATTAGTGATTGATACAGACTCAAGCCATTTATTCCAGAATCCTTTAATGAATTATTTCTATAGGCAAAAGCTTAACCTACAAAAATGAATCCTTACTAGTGGAATTTCAGGCAGCGTTGCAAGTGAGTTCCTTGGCTTAACAGCTACTAGTTTTATAATCTTAGCATAATAAACTAGATATAAACATACAAAGACACTTTTCGTTCTTAAAACTTTGGAAACACCCACTTACAGTAAAAAATGAACACACATTTCTTCTGGAATTCTTTATTAACCAGCAATTACAACTAAAGAAAAATAATAACTGGCATTTGTTCACTTAAGACCTAATTCACTTTAAGACCTTCTCCTATCTCTGGAAAACTAGATCAAGTAAGTTCCTACTGAGCATAGCTTATTAAATTCTGAGTTTTAAAAATGGTTATCTTGCATAGTCAGATATAAATTTTATTTAATGGAATATTTGATATTCCATGGAAAATTAATGGAATATGTGAAATACCAAGATTTCATATTCTTCTTCATGCCCAAAAGAGGAAGAGAGGGACAGAGGCAGGGAAAGAGGAAGGGAAGGAGGAAGAGAGAGAGGAGGAGGAGGAGAAGGAGGAGGAAGGAGAAGAAAAAGGGAAGGGAAAGGAAGGACAATAATATGTTAAACTAGTTCAAACCATATCTCAATTCTTTAGGTCTGGAAAGTAATAATAAGCCTTGTACATATTATCTGATTGATCCAGACTCTTCCTCTTTTTGTCACAATCACTAGGACACTTGGATAATACACTAGATAATTGATTTAACTTGCCAAATTGTAATTCTTCCTGTGTAAATGTCCCCATAATAATTTAATAGTAGCAGCAGAATACACTCATAAAATGAGCTTATCCTTTAAAAGAATGTTGACATTTAGTTCATGTTTTCAAGTGTGACAACTTAGATCGATTGTCACATGAATAATTAAAGTAAAAGGCAGGATCTGACTTTAACCAGTAAACAAATTTACTTTTTATTTATCAATAACTTAGTCATCCATGCTTGGCAAGAAAATTCATGTGGAAGAAAATATCCAGTTCATATGAGTAATGAACAATGAAAATACAGTGTTAAGAAACAGGTGACATCTACCATAATGGTTTCTTGGTTCTCTGTTCTGAAACCTGGAGTTCGCTTTCCCAAATACAGACTAAATTAGCAGGACATTCTCTGACTCCACTCTACCTCAATATCCATGGCTGAGTGACTCAGCAAAACTACTATGCATTTGCCCAAAGGTGAATAATTTCTCCTTTACCCTAATCTAAAAGGGAGGATATTAAATCAGTCCAGCCAGCAGTATAGCAACCAAATACAGGGTAGCAAACATACCAACTTGTAGATGTAATTCCAAGGTGGCTGTGGAGGGGGCATGTTTGTCACATAACAGCAGGGAGCCAGGCTCCTTCTAGTAGCTCTTTGGGTATGTGTGAGAATTAGAAAAGGTACCCCTCTTTCTGGCAACATGGGCCCATGCCAGGGCATATGGCTTGCCACGCAGAACATGGGCTTGATTCAGCCCTCAACAGCTGATTGAGCTGGTCACCTTGTGCACTAACTTCTTCAGGCTGGCATTGAAAAGGTGGAAAAACCAGCACATATAAAAAGATCACTGACCATGGGTTGCCTGGTCACATCTGGGTTCAAATTCTGGCTCTGCCATCCATTGGCTGGTTGACTTGGGACAGGCTGCTTAGCCTCTCTGAGCCTTAGGTTCTTCTTTTAAGAAATGGAGAAAGTACTAACAATCTTTAATGTTGTAGAGACTTGCCAAAAGCAAAGGATCAAAGCAATCTATAGGTCAGAAAGAAAGTAGAATGACAAGAACACAAAGGCATACATGTCCAGGGGCAAAATGGGAGGTGAGGAAGGGGGAATGGATGAATAAATCTCCCAATTTCACAAACTCTACTCATTCTATCAATGTGACAATTGAGGCTTAGCATGGTTAAATAACTTGTCCAAGGTTACAGTGGCAGGAGGCAGAGGTAGAATGTGACTAGTTCTATCTGACTCAAGTCTTTATGTTTTATACTCAATTCAGTTCGACGTACATGAATTGGGTTGAATGTTAACAGAAATGGAGCAATTGAAAGAACTGGCAGTATCGGTGAAAAGGAAGTGCTAATCAGAGAGAAAAAGGGTTGTCTCATTCCAGAAGCTCCCATTAAAAAAAAAAAAAAAAAAAAAGAAGACTTTCACCAAGCATGCCTTCGAACGTCCGGCTGATAGGAGAGGAAAGGAGAAAGAAAGCCCCTCCCTCAAAAAGTCGAAAACATACCTAAACGTTGTCTATCATTTCAGTGTCGTATCTTATAGATTATTTTTTTGTTGCACAACTCTTGTTCAAATCCCCAATATCTATCAGCTGATGTGTTAGCAATAACCCCATAATAATTCTCCTCATCTGTGCATAACTCTTGTTCCATTCCCCAGCATCTATCAGCTAATGTGTTAACAGTAACCCCATAATTATTCTCCTAACCTTTCCCCCTCTTGATGTCCTTTACCCTTATCTGCTTGCATTTGGTTCCCAGAGGAATCTTTCTAAAAAGGGGCATAATGCATGTCACTCCTCTGTGCAAATATTTTACATGCTCCAATTGCTTATAAAATACATTCCAAACTCATTAATTTGGCACTCAAACCCCTTTAGAATCTGCCTCTACATTTCCAACATGATCTCTCATACTATCCTTTACAAATACTAATACAAGCTCCAGTAAAGTGAGTTATGTGTGGTTTTCCATGGCCTGAGCTTCACCACTCTATGTTGCTCATGTTTCCCTCTTATTTCAGAAAGCCTTTCTATACCACACTGTATATTGAAATCTTATCCTTAAGCCCAAACTAAAATGCCATCTTATCCAAAAAGTCTTTTGTGATTCTAACAGCTAGAAGTATTTTTGCTTTTTTCTGAGTTTGCCTAGCAATGTTTTTGCTCTATCATTGTATACTGGAGTTTCTACTAGGAATTAGTAGGTCATATGTGGCAATTCTTCCATTGGTACTATAGTTCCTCTACTGGAGTTATAATTTAGAAAAGGCAATCTTTCTAAAATTACAAATGTGATCAAGCCACTTTTCTATTTGATATTCTTCAGATGCCTCTCATCATTAACAGAACAAAGTCTAAACTCCTAGACATGACACAACTTCCTTCCATTGTCTCCTAATCTCTTCTTAGTTGAATCTCGTTCTACTCTCATGTACATCCTAGTTTTTACTCATACCAATTAGCTGAAAACTTTCCTTGTAGACATAGCTATTTCCTAATGCCAGGGCCTCAGAATCGTAGCTCCTAGATATCTTTTGGCTGAATTAACTTGAATTGCACCAAATCCTACACACACATCAGGCTATGGAGAAGTTTGAAGAGAACTATGCAAATGAAGAAGAATGGGAAGATCCCACCATCCCAAAATATCTCTTAATTATGTGGGAATACAGAAATAATGCAATAAATCTGACATTGTTGACTTAATAGTAGGACCAGCCCAGACTGAAATCTCAATGGTATAAGAGGCCCCAGTACCAACAGGCAATGTAAGCATGTTTTGTCATTTTCAGGTGGTTTTTCTGCTACTTGTCTTTCTGGGATATATAGATAAGCACTTCAATCATCGCAGGCTAATTTGCTTAGCTCTCAAAAATAAGAATCTTCTGTAAATCTTTGGGTTTCTGTCAGAATTGTTTCACTTTCATCTCGTCTCGTTGAAATCACTGAACATTACAATCACAACCATGGAAGGTTAAAATACAAAAAGAAAACACACCAACCCATGCAATGCAATTCACCTGGACTAGATAAAGGATCAGGTTAGTTAGCTGTCAACTAGAGGAGACTATGGGGCCTAGAATTTTGCCTAGGTTTTGGGAATTGTCAAAATGGCAGCATGCAAAGTATCAGGAAATGAAACAAGGTTGGGCATTTAGTGATGGAGGAGGGTAAGTTCTATAAAACCAATGTTAGCAAAAACAATTGTTAACATTTATTAAAAGTTTATAATATGCAAGACATTGTTTTAAAGGATATGCTGTATTAAATCACTTAGTCCTCATGGTAGTCCTATGAGTAAGAACTATTGTTACTTCACATTACAGATGAAGAGCACTTAAGGTCTTGACCAAATTTACCCAGCCAGCAAATCATAGAAATAAGATTCAAACCCACACCATCTGATTCCATCCTGTGAACTCAACTACTATTACCCCTAAAAAATTATGGGTCATCAGAAGGAAATTTAATCTACTAAATTCAACAAACCAATCACTCAAATAAGCTCTATCTGTGGTTCAGGAATGGCACAGTAGACACATTTCTAGACATAGATGAAGAAAGTAGGGTAGATTAGCAACAGGGGAATTCCCCGAACTCTGCTAATAAGATTGCACACATCATCGGTGAATTTACATGAATATCTTGAATACCTATTATTTTTTCAGAAGTTTGTAAAATGTCATTGGTCTTCTGTTGAAATCAGTGGAAACAGAGCTACTTTTAGTTATTTCAGATTAAAACTTGGGAAGTCACATACCTTGACTACTTGCCTGGAAAGAGTTGTTAGTTTTTTCATAGGACTTCTGGTGTATTTCACTGTGACGACTGGAGCCAGTGCAAAAAATATCTTAATCCTTTTAGCCAGTTCTGGGTTTGTAGAAAAGGCTATGAAAGCTGAAATGGAAGAAGATACTAGTTCACAGTTTTCAGATAATTATTTGTTCATTTTAAATGATAGTAAAAGTAGCCATATTAAAAACAAAACAAAAAACAACATACAATTATTACCATTTGTAGAGAATAATTTCTTAATTTCTCAAGAGTGGAATTGGCTAATTCAGAATAAAGTGTTCCCTGGGGAGTGCAAGGAGAAGAGGGTTCAAGCATCTACTGTGGGGCATGCCTAGGTAAACTCCAAAGCCCATTCCAGCTTGACTATAATCCTGGTATCAGACAAAACTGGGCTCTAAATTCGACTTCTTGTTTACTAGCTGTGTGACCTTCCCTCTGTGAGTCGTGGTTTTCTCAGTCTGTGAATGTGGATGGTAAAATCCTTATAGGACGATTTTTATAAAATCATTGGTTTGTTGAATTTCCTTCTGGTGACCTTTAATTTTTTAGGGGCAGTAGTTATTGAGTTCACAGCAAATCAGATGATTTATAAAATCCTTATAGGATGATTTTTGTGTATATAATCTTTATTAAATATGTGAAATATAAGATGTTACTTGGGAATATCACCATTAGAAAGAATTCTTCAATTCAACCATTTGTGGAGTATGGATGATAGTGGTTTCGGATGTTTGCAGTTTCCAATGAGAGAATGTATGCAAGATGTGTGACACAGTACAAGTATGTAAAGACCTAGGCCGGGCGCGGTGGCTCACGTCTATGATCCCAGCACTTTGGGAGGACGAGGCAGGTGGATCACGAGGTCAAGAGATGGAGACCATCCTGGTCAACATGGTGAAACCCCGTCTCTACTAAAAACACAAAAATTAGCCAGGCATGGTGGTGCACCCCTGTAGTCCCAGCTACTCAGGAGGCTGAGGCAGGAGAATTGCTTGAACCCAGGAGGTGGAGGTTGCAGTGAGCTGAGATCGCACCATTGCACTCCAGCCTGGGTAACAAGAGCGAAACACCGTCTCAAAAAAAAAAAAAAAAAAAGACCTACTTTATACGAGAATCCTGATTATAATTAAGATATAGAAAACAGACTGGTGGAAATCCTGTTGGTATTGTTGAGTTCTCTAGCCAAACAGCAGGGAGACAAATGGGCCTCACAACACTGCCAACATAGCCCTACCCACATCTGGCCTACTCCAACGCCTCCCTGACAACTAAAAGTCATACTGATTGTAGCAAATAATCACTGAGTTTTGTAATCTCTGTTTTCTTTCTTGAGTCCCTCACTAGACTGTGAGATTTTTAAAGAATGAATACCATATTTATCTCTGCTTCCTCAGCATATAACACTGTCTGACAAATGTCTGTTAGGCTTGCAAACAAATAAATGAATAATTCTCCCTCTTTCAGGCATATCTATCAACCTCCAAATTTAGTATTGAAGGAAAATTCCCTATTATCATTATTATTTAATTTACTGTTCAGAAATTAGCCAGAGGAAATGGTTTTCCAATTCAAGTACCCAAGCTAGAGACTGCACAGAGAGAAGAAATGCTGACCCCCTTCCATGAATATGGAAGAAGAGCCCCTGACATTTTCTGATCACATCTGCCCCAAACACACCTATGGTGGTGCCTTGTGAGTGGCCCACGTAGTAGAGTTGCTTCTGTCCAGTTTTCTCTATGATAAAATTGATAGTGGCTGAAAGGTCATATTTAGCCATCTCATCCAAACTAACAAAAAGAAGGAATAACACAATTAGAAAAGTCATCTCATAGTTAGGCCTAGAACATTTAAACACATTCAGTGCAAACACAAATACTTTGATTTTGTTAAATATAAGACTAGTGTCAATATCTCATATTAGGCATCTATGCAACTTTAAAGGGTGTCACCTTGAGTGCAAGTCAAAATTTTTAAGAAACCCAAATCAGAAAAATCTGATTTGTCAAGGCCTACTGATGCTTTTCTTGCTTTACGTGTCATTAATTCTATGACAGATTTATCAAACTCCTCTGAAAAGAGCAATTACCTGGAATGCTTATCTCAAAGAAAGAATAATAAAGCAAACAGATTTGCAGACCTCAGCCCAGACTAACTGAATCAGAATTTCCTGGAAAGAGACCCAGTAATCTGTATATTTATCAATGTTCATCTACTTCTGATCCTTTGTATAGTTTAAGAAATACTTACCTAGGAAATTATCTAGTCATTTGCAAGGGTACAATGGACTGTGGTATAGAATTAGGAAATGCCAATGGTTTCCAGAAAGAAGGCAGGCAAGGAGGCCAAGGAACACATGGTTTTTATGACCTCCAAGGAATGGTTCTTAGCTCCTATGCCAGTGCATGGGTTTGCTCCTGTGACCAGGTAGATGTGGCTTCTGAAGCAGACAGCACCCCCAGGTGCTGCTGCTGGTGACATTGCTGCTTAGCCATTCTGTAATCAGGCTTTCTTCTTACTATCCCCAGGACATACACACACACACACTCACACACAGACACCAGGAAAGAAGCAGGAGTTCTCAAACAGCCATGCAATAATAATGACAGTTCTTTAGAGCCTGTGAAGAAAGTCTGGGTAGAGAAGGAAAGGTTGTTTCCTTCTTATGGATTCCATTGGGTGCATTTGGACACACACACACACAAAAATCACTAGGTGTTTATACATATACTTGAGCAAAGTACACACTTTATTCATGAGTAGTTTTCTCCTTACCTGAAGGCCCAGTATTCTGGTGATTTGGGTGACAATTTAAGGTGTTTTCTGGACCAAGTATTTCCTCGGCTGTTCCCCAACCACACATCATAACCACTATCTGCCAGAAGGAAAGCCAAGCTGTTGTTGGGCAGGTTGCAAATCCAGTTACTGGCAGATGCAATTAAGCCATGCTGCAAATACACAGCAGGCTTTGGAGCTGCAAAACACAGGCAAACAGAATTTCATGTCTGAACTTCCTCAGTGTCTACAAGAAAAATCTCAATCCTGAATTTCTGTAGTATAGAAGAAAGGTTAAGAGATAAAATTTGATGTCAGGCAAACCTGGGACCTCGTCCCTTCTGAGCTACTTACTTGGGTAAGTTATTTATATTCTGTCTTGTTTTCTCATTTGTAAAGAATTATATATAATGTATTGTGTTAGGTACATGTGGAAATTAGATTGCCCTAGTTCAGAATCCCTTCTGATATGCATGAACTCCTTTGTGCCTCAGTTAAACTATCTGTATAGTGGGAAATAACAACAAATGCTATCTCCTAGAGTATTTATAAGAATTCATTGAGAACTAAAATATGTAAAAGGCTGTCTGGCACAGTAAATATTAGCTCTATTACTGTTATTCATATTAATAGCATTATATTTTTCAAGGCTCATCTGATTAAAAACTTAAATTTTTTTTCAAAATAAAAACAATTTAAAAATGCCATTTGTTGAATGCTCATTGAGTGTCAAGCACTGTGCTAGGTTTTATAGGCACTGCTTCATTTCATTTGAATTGTTAGCAAAAAGCAAGGTTATAGTTAGAAATTTACACAATTTAAAATTGATAATATGATACAAAAATCCTATTCCCAATGTAAAATAGGGACATTTTAACTAAGAAAGAAAAAGGAAAAAGAAGGAAGTGAGAAAGTATTGAAAAAGAGAGAAGAGAGGGAAGAAGTGACAAGGCTTTTCCTCTCCAAGTGGTTTGTGATGCTGTGTTGATATCTCAGGACCGTACCTCAGGCCACTTTTAGAGCTAGAATGGCTTCCCAAGAGTGAGTAGGCTGGACTCACAGAGAGCCTTCAGCCATTGGGAACAAGGAACTCTAAGAGCCTATGTCCATTTATCCACCTTTGGAATACAGGGAAAGAAGAGGTGTTACTAACTCTGCCAAAGTTAAGTATCATTAAATAGTTAAGTACCATCAGGCCTCTGTGATCTGCATCTGAGACACAGCACAGGCATCTCAGATAAGAGAAACAGTTTCTCGTTGTACAGCTTTTTGTCACATGCACTTTGGCAGCTATGTGGTAGAAATGACTAGAGAGACTTAAGTTTGGAGAGACTTAAAAGTTCTCTTGAGTATTTACAAAATTATTTGTAATTACGGAGCTATTTTGGGAAATGATTGGCTCGGTAAAGCCAGCAACAATATTATATCTTCCTCACTTTTTAGAAATCTAGAGTTTTTCTTTAAATAATTAGTCTTTCTGATGTTGAGAATTTTTGTTATTCGACATGTCAAAGTATAAAATGAGCTAAGAAGAGAGAGAAGAAAGCAAAAGCAAATAATTTCTGGGGAATTAATTGATCATTCCCTCCCCCTATCGCCCCCCCACCCCCAAACACACACACACACAGCCAC